GCAGGAATAAAAATATCTAACTTTCTGGTTATTTCTTAGGCTATAAAGTGCTCTTAAACCAACCCTGTTAAAATAACATAAAGCACATATAAAGAAACTAAAAATATATTTCAGGGTTACATGAATGAAGTAGGCAGTTGAAAATGTCTACATAGGAAATTTGGAAGATTAATTCAACAGACTGTTATGCTGGTTAGAAACGGTTTTGCAATTTAATTCTAAAATTAATCTTGTTTTTAGTTTTGATTTCACTGAAGGATGCATTTAAGAGCTTTTGAAAGAAGCCAAAGGTTAAAAAATGTATTTAAAAATGTATAAATATCACTTTAGTAATTGTTTTCAATATTAGAAATCATCTCAAATAAAATAATTTTCCAAATAAAATGAAGCACTACTCTTGATTCTCCTAAGAAAACCCTGCAACACAGAAGGAGTACAATCCTTGCTTTGGGACACTCAGCAGCAAGTCAATGGCAAAAATAGGCACAGACTCTGAGATCCCTTAATGTCAGTCTCCGTGTCATTATTTTTCCTTCTCATGATTTTGCTGACATAAAGGATTAATCCCTACTTTCTTCAGATTTAGAATAATGTTCTCAAAATTTTGCATATTGTATAAGCATACACCATTGAAGCTCATGCTTTGCTGTTTTCTTTTGCTTTTTCTAGAAGCCTGTACAAGAAATAAAATATTTAACATCTCTGTATTCTTTTTGTTGTTAAATTACTTTCTCTTGTTAAAATTATGGTACTAGCTTATTTAAGGATATCAGATAAAACAGAAAAATTTGAATGAGCTATAAATAGACGTCTTAGAAAGAGGTTTACATTTTCTTCATCATTTCTAATTACAAACAGAATGAAAGCCACTCCATTTCATCTCCAAAAAATTCTAAGGACAATAGGATCCAAATTTTCACTTAAAATCTACACTGTATCTTACACTACTAATAAATGACTTTTAACTCTAAAAAAAAAAGAGCTCATTAAAACAACTCATTACTTACACATGCTTTTCTCTGATTAATATATGGCAAACTGATTCCATAGGTCGCATTTACAGCAGCTCTGTGGTGGATGTTTTCAGGATCCTGCATGATTTTTATATTCAACCCTGTCTTTCTCTGAAACAAAGAAACAATGAAACTTTCATGCCAGAAGAACAAAACTGCCTACTAACATTTTATATCCTCAAAGGAGTCTAAAGTTCTTTGAGAATAATTATTTTAATGTAATTCTCACTGGAAAAAAAAGTATATCTTTGGGTCTTTTATTTAGGTGACTAATTAGTCTTTTATTCACAGAAAAGGAATTTTCTGCAGATTTTCCTCTGTGTATCCTGTTACTCATAAAAATCCATCTGCAGACGCCATTCATTTTCTCAAAAATACTGCTAGAAGCCAACCAAGGTGGACAAAGGATAGAATACCTGGTTTCGATTTATTTTTAGCTTTCCAGGTCAAGAATTTTTCCAATGAAGTCTATACTACGACTATGCAGGTAGAGGGCTCCCTTGGTCTGTTAAAGTGTCCCCTTTCCTTGAGGGACATTTACAGGTAAATCTCAGTTTGAACTTGGTAAATTTACCACAACAAACTTATCCACTCCTTCGCAGAGCTTTTGCTATCTATAGGAAAAATATGTGCTCTCATTAGAAAAAAGAAACACGCATCTCATTTGAACCACGTGTTCCTCATTTAAAATAATTGAAATGAGTTACTACTGAGATGCTTAAATATGAACCACCAGAATAGGCAGCACAGTGGTAGGGGGGAAGGGGCACTGGATAGGTGATCAGAGACCTAGGCTCCAGTCTTACTCTACCCTGGACTGCCTGCGTGTGACCTCGGGTAAGTTACTTCCCCTCTTTGGAAGCCAGTTTCTTTATTTGCAAAATGCGACCTTAGACTTGACTGTCTCTTGAAGGACTATCAACCCCCCAATCTCCCCCTCCCATGTTTTGCTTTCTATTATTTGATGCTAAAAGGTAAATCGACACTTAAGGAATATGGTAGTACCAACAGTTTCTGAAGTCTTTTGTGACTTTTAAATTTAGTGGGTTTTAGCATATTCACAATGTTATACAAACATCACCCCTTCCTCAAATTCAGAACGTTTTCATTACCCAAAAAGAAACCTCATACCCATTAACAAACAGTGCTCATCTCCTTTACCCAGAGCCTGGCAACTGCTAATCGACTTTCTTTCTCTTGGATGTGCCCATTCTGGATATTTCTTATAAGTGAAATCATACAATATGTGGTCTTTGTGACTTTTTTAAAAGGAGGTGTGAGCAATTAAAAACACTGATTTCCTTTCAATGGAGTGTCTTAGTTCTGAGGGCGATCTGATGCAATTGTTAAAACGGTTATAGGAACCAGACAGATTAGCTCATACTGTAGTAATTTCTTTGATCTTAAGCATTCATACATGGCCTGTGCCTGAGGTCAAAGCGAAGGGGAAGACTACAAAAACACCTATGGAATGCATGCCGTCTACATAAGTTATTTCTTAACACAGTCTCCAAACCTTTTGTTTTTTTTTTTTGCGGTACGCGGGCCTCTCACTGTTGTGGCCTCTCCCGTTGCGGAGCACAGGCTCCGGACGCGCAGGCTCAGCGGCCATGGCTCAGGGGCCCAGCAGCTCCGCGGCGTGTGGGATCCTCCCGGACCAGGGCAGGAACCCATGTCCTCTGCATCGGCAGGTGGACTCTCAACCACTGCGCCACCAGGGAAGCCCCAAACCTTCTTTTTATTTTTTTAATAGTTTTTAGACCAAATCTCCAAATAACTGCACTCAATTGTGCACATGATTTAACCCATGCAGGGACACAGGTTACAAATAAGGCATAGCTCTTCCCTCTCCTTAAAGTCTGTGTGGTGACAAAAGTAATGTAGTGCCTAATTATAAATGGCTTTCCTTCTGTGGGTAACCCACACTTAAGCACTACTCCAGGGTTTTTGCATGGAAGCTGAGTGCCTCTTTTATTGAAATTAATACCTGAACATAATTTTTTCCTTCTTAATTAAACTTTCAGAATAATTTCCATTCTACCAAGGACTGGGAAATTGCTAATCTGTATTCTATTGGCTGGATGTGGTTTCTGTAATTCGGGTGTTTTTTAAATGTGTATTCTGTATACAACTGATGGCAATAACTTCATCTATCATGTCTAAGCTTTGTTAGAACTTTTAAATTCTGGGATCATTGGCTCAGTGGACCATAGCCATTTTCTTAGTTTTCTTATGCTCCATCAACTTTATGTGGCTTTGGGACTGGTATAGAAAGGAAATGATCAAATACAGAATCATTGTTAAAACTGGCATTAAAAACTAGTTGTTTCCTTCCATTTTTACATTTCTGTGGCAGTGAACACAGATATTTCTGGAAAGAAATCAAAATGTAAATAGAAATCCAACAGAAATGATAGGTTGTAATAGCAATTCTTTATTAGTCAGCTTCTAAAGCAATGGAAAAATCCTTTAAAATTATTAATATTCTAATATTTTCTCTTTTGACTCCAAAGCATGTGTATACCAAAATAATATGTAGCACATATGATTTAATTCCCCTTTTAAAAAAATTAAGAGTTTACATTTAAATAATATAAAAATATCAAATGGTCTCACTGAAAATCACTGTCATATACATTCATAACCTAAATTTATCTTACAAACCATCTATAGAGATGTATAGGGAAATATTTATGAGCATAAGCTACATTGTCAGACCCAGTAATAAGATTTTTCAAGAAAAATAATTATAGATTTTAAAAAACAAAAACAAAATTAATCATTCCATTAAGCATAAAAGCAATGCTCTGGAAGATGATCATTTTTTACCAACAGTAAGATAAATATCAAATAATTTCAGAAAATTTTCTTAAATTGTTCAAGAAAAGACAGCAATTTATTTAATCTACCTTGAGTGACTAAACAATCTAAACTTTGTGTCCTCTCCTTTTGATAGTAATTACAAGCAGATATATCAAATGTGACTCTCATTTAGACTTTGGTTTGTAAGAAGAAAAGTTATTATCAGAGCCAATTACTGTTTTACCTACATGGCTGCACAGAAGCAGGGAGCTCAATTTTCGTCTCATCAGTGATTTTGTGGTATTTATTTTATTACTATGCCCACAAAGTGATATAAGAAGGAAATAGCTTGTGCTATTAAAACTAAGGCTTGAACATAAGAGGCTAAGGTTTCTTTTAGAAGAAGTTCTGAATTAAAAACACTAGGCAGCGTGTAATGCCAGCTCCCCAGACATGGGCAGACCATAAAATGACATACATCTGAGCACACAGAGTAATCAAAATTGAAATGCTTCACAAACAAAGTTGAGACAAGCTATTTACTAAGTTACAGTATTATCAGCATAACATTATTCTCAACAGTGTTTGCTACAAGTAATGCCTTCTTTTTTTAAATTCAATTTTATTAATTTTTAATTGTTTTTAATTAAAAAATTTTTTTGGCTGTGTTGGGTCTTCGTTGCTGCACGCGGGCTTTCTCTAGTTGCAGCAAGTGGGAGCTACTCTTTGTTGTGGTGTGCAGGCTTCTCATTATGGTGGCTTCTCTTGTGGCAGAGCATGGGCTCTAGGCACACGGGCTTCAGTAGTTGTGGCGCGCAGGCTCAGTAGTTGTGGCTTGCGGTCTCTAGAGCACAGGCTCAGTAGTTGTGGCGCACGGGCCCAATTGCTCCGCGGCATGTGGGATCTTGCCGGACCAGGGATCGAACCCGTGTCCCCCGCACTGGCAGGTGGATTCTTAACCACTGCACCTCTAGGGAAGTCCCACTACAAGTAATGCCTTCTAAAGTGTATGTTGGTTAATATCATATTCCCACTGGTTAAAGATATCTGTTTAATCTCAAAACCAAAATAAAGAAAAAGAATTCAGTCACCTTTAATGCTCTGATTCTTTCAACCATTATTATATTTATTTGAAAGAACAGTAGATACCAAGTCCTAGTTCAAGGTATATGATCTAGATTTTTCATTTGTTAAAACTGGGTAGTAATACCTACCTACATGGGGTTGTTTGTGAGGTTTAATTGACTAATGTGTGTTAAGTATCTCAAATGATAAAGTACTACTCAGGATCCTTCAGGCCCCCAAATAATAATGCAATGCATTGAAACACTTCAAATATATAAAAATCTATAGTTCTTAATAATATTTCCCCCTTCCCCAAAAAAACCCTAATTGATAAATTAATCTGAAAGTAGATAGATCAAAGAAAGGATCATACATTTATCCCGCTTTTCCTGAAAATCTGTTTTTCAGATTCACCAGAGAGTTGCTAAGGGAAAGCTCTTCAGAGAAGCTAATAAATGCGGAAGGAATGATAGAATTATAAAATTACCAATAAATAAATAAATAAAATTATGGCTTTGTAATCCCTAATGAAATAATTAGTTAGGTAAATATCAATTTTTGCTAATATCATTAGGTGAAAGGTTGTGGGGAATTTTATTATTTTAATTAATTAATTAATTAGTTTAGTTTTGGCTACACTGGGTCTTTGCTGCTGTGCACGGGCTTTCTCTAGTTGCAGCGAGTAGGGGCCACTCTTTGTTGCGGTGTGCGGGCTTCTTATTGTGGTGGCCTGTCCTGTTGTGGAGCATCGGGCTCTAGGCACATGGGCCTCAGCAGTTGTGACACACGGGCTCAGTAGTTGTGGCTTGTGGGCTCCAGAGCACAGGCTTAGTAGTTGTGGCGCATGGGACCAGTTGCTCCACAGCATGTGGAATCTTCCCAGACCAGGGCTTGAACCTGCGTCCCCTGCACTGGCAGGTGGATTCTTAACCACAGCGCCACCAGGGAAGCCTGGTTGTGGGGAACTTATATAGGATAGATCAAACTGGAAATAGTCAGACTCACTGATCAATCTTAATAACATCATTAAAAGAGAGAAAAGAAATTGCCTCCTGATATGCTATAAAAGGAAATACACCGCACCACCTGCCAAGTATTCCCACCAAAAAGATGTCACCTGAATCTGATCGAGCTTCTAGATAAAACTACTAGTTTACAAGAAATACTAGGGAGAGAGGAATGTGTAAAATGACACCATGAGATTTGCAAGCAGCCAATCCAGACTAAGGGTGTGGAGAACCTGT